TGCCGACAGACTGATGCCTGTGTTATGCATGTCTCCATGATGACACATCACTCCTTAAGTATGTTTGGACATTCAACATTGAACTATTACATCATGTCGATTGTGCCTTCATCGACCGCGATTGGATCAACACTTGTTTCTTTTAAACATTTGTTTCCTTGAATGTGAATAATTTTATCTAATTATTTATTAAAAAAATATGACATAGTCGGTCTGAAACTTTTCGGGTTATGGTTTTGTAATGTGGGCTGTGTTTGGATATTACATTTTGCTTTCCATTATGTGCTGAAGAGAAAAAACCGCGGTTACATAGACCCTAAAGGTATCGGGCACATATTTATATATATATTGTATTGTATCCTTCACTACTTTACTATATATTATATATGAATTAAGTACAATTCTATATGCTATGTTAAATAGCATATACTGTATGGGGCATGTTAGATGCTACTGGCTCTATGCTATAATCTATGAACCGTGTTATACTATGCTTTGCTTGATATCTAAATATAGCATGATATTATACTATATTGTGCTGCATGTTTATAGAATACTCCATGTCACCATATATGTACTATACTGTATCATTACATGCTATTTTCCATTACGCTATGGCACATAAAATATGCAGTGTGTTAGTCCGTATATTCTTCTGTTTGTATTATGCATTTTTCCTATGTACTTTTTGTGTTGTATATTATAAGATATAATATATGTACTGATACGTTAGTGTATAATAAAACAAACCAAACCATATCAGATCATAATATACTGAAGTATATTGCATCAGATATTGCTGTTTTTTACAACCACATGTTACATATTACAGCTTATATGCTATATACTGAATGCTATACTATCGACTTTTGTTATATAATACTGCAAATTAGTACTGTACTATGTTGTATTATCCTATGTTATATTGGATTATCTTACATATTTTATCATATGGTACTATATTACGGCATACTGCATGGTACTGTAATATGTACTAGATGTTGTGATATACATATATATATACATATATATATATATTCTCTACATTATATTACATCATACCATGTCATACCAAATTCCATTTTGCTATATTGTATCCTATCATCTTATATTAGATTATGCTATTGTCTTGCCTTCATTCCTATATTAGCCTGCTGGGCTTTATCTTGTCCCATCTTCATATTATATTACACTTATTATAGTATATTATAATAAATTGTATTATTTTAATAGCACTATATTACACTGCATTACATTATATTATCTTATAGTGTGTTATGTTATGCAACAATATATTGCTGCAAAATATAGCATACTAAAGACTATGCTTAATTCTGTTCTAGCACATATCATAATCCTTTATTTTGGATTATATTATCTTATCTTGCATTCTATTATCTTATCTTTTGTGTTATCTGAAGGGGCCTAATTCAATCTAACAGTATGTGTGTGTGTATATATATATTATACATATGCCGTCGTTGACCTCATTTACGTCAGTGCACTTTTGGGCAAATCTGGACAAGTCAAGGTCATGTCATGCGATGCTATCACGCAGACTGCAGCTTTCAAGGTCTCTGCACTGCGGATGACCCATGGGAACAGGGTTTTCACGCACACAACACGCACACAACACACACGCACACACACGCACACGCACACACACACACACACTGTGACACTGACGAACTGGCCACTGGAGCAAAAAGAAGATTGATGCGAAGCTTTTCTGTTTGCCGAACCTGCGAACAGTTCTTCCATGCAAGGGGTCTCTGTAGGATGGGTCTCTATCTATACGACACGACGGAATGGTCTGAGGTTGTCGTGATGTTGTCGTGTATGCTTCAACTTTTACGCCCGAGGCGCAGCTCCCCCTCAAATCGAGCTGCGCGCGTGTCATGGTGCTGCACATGTGGCGCTGCGACGATTCGTGCTCGAAATTTAGACCCTCTCCAAGGCACGTCCACCGGAAAGTTGTCCTCATGTTGGCCTCGAAACGACAACCCTCTCGGTGGACGCGGCGTTACTACGCCCTCCAGACAGCGCGATTCAATGAAACTTGCTAATACATTGGCCATGCTGGCCTCGAAATGACCTGTCGGTGGTACCGGTGTGTCCAGTCGCTCTGCTCGGCTCGGCTTGGCCCCGCTCTGCTCTTCAGACATGAACTGACTGACAGGAGCAAGATTACGTGAAGGGTTTGTTGCCCCTCACCCCCCAATTTAAAGTCCAGCGCTTGCTCCACCAAAATTGATGGTTCGGTTGCCTTGCCTAGTTCGTACCTACAGGCTTGGAAACCGGGGTGCTGGTGGAACCTCTTCTCTACGGTAGGCCGAACCCCACTCTCCAGCAGGTTTGGTAAGAATTCTCGCAAGCAAAGTTTGCGGGAACGACACGTCTCTCGATGCTGGTTGCCAGTGCTAGAACTTGTTGTCGCAACTTCTGGTGCCATGCCAGCAGCCTTCACAAAGCGTCTTGGAGAAAAAGACGGCACGCTGCAAATTTTGTCAAGCAGACCAGACTAAAGCATTTGAGCCGGCACCAAGCAACTGCAGGGAGGGCCTAATGCCTAAGGCGGGTTGCAACCGTAAAAGCAGACGAGCAGCAGGCGTACTCTGCTCAGCAAGGGATGATCTTGCATAGACCAGGAAGTGAGTCTGGCTGCCGCGAACCAGAGAATTTGAGAAACTTTGCCTGAGCTACCGCAGGCTTTGTCAAAGTGGTTGAACTCTCGGCACTAGGCGGAGGATTTGCACGATCTGGCGCTTTGTGAAGTCTGTTTAGGTGGGAGTACTCCGAGGGCTACAATGCTGGAGTCGCTGTTGCTGAGTTTGCTGTGGCTGCAACTCCAGTTCAGGACCTCCTGGCTGCTGGCTGCGGAAACCGAAACATCCACAACTTCGGAACCCCGTCTCAGCTGAGACTGTCTTGGCACAGCTGTCTTGCAGAGAAGAGATGAGACGTAGACCCCTTTCTGTCCAAAGAGCAGATTGGTCCCCACCGGCACGGCTGCTCCAACCTGCAAAGTGCAAGCGACAAGCCAGAGCCAACAATCGGCAGATTCGAAGGTTGATTCTGGCCCGATCGCCTGAGACCGCGTGTCACCACTGGAGCTCGTTGCCAGGTAGATGATGTAGTCCTCCAGCCGTAAACAAGAGCGTGTCAAGGGAGAGACGCATATGGCCACTCCCCGAGTCCTGGATATTCTGCGGTTGTGCTGAGGACGCCTGCCAGACAGCCCCGCCAACCCTGCAGATGTCCCTTCTGGTGTTTGAACGCAGCCTGTGGAGTCCACTGCAAGGAGCCCTCCAGATTGTCCAAGTTCAGATCCTGCAGTTTCGTGCGTTATGCCGGTTGCATTACCGGAACGTCACTACGGGCCGGTGTAGCACGAAGCTGCAGGACTAAGGCGCACGACTTCGTCTCGGGTCTTGGGGCGTGCCACATGTGCCAACTTTGAAGTCTTCAGTCTATTGACTCAGGGCGTCCGTGATGCCTAGATAGGGCCCAGGGCCTAGGGGCTGAGGTCGTGTTTCGTGCTGAGATCAAGGAGCCTGGCCAACGAAGAAGGGTGCATCCACAGTGCCGTTGACATCGAAGAGAAGTAGCTCCGCCGGAGTCGTCTGCTCTATCAGGCTCGAAGTCGTGTAAACCTCATGACAGCACACCAAGGCCCGAAGTAACTAGCAGCAGCTCTTACGAGCTGAAAATGTGCTTAAAGCGAACATTCCGACAAGGTGCCAGCCAGTAGATGTAGCCCGATCTGTTGGTCTCTGCAGGGACAGAAAGGTTGGTGGTGCCGAAGCTCAAATTCGCGTACAGCGCGCGATCATTGCCAACCTCATCCTTGGGAGAAGGTGACAAAGGAGTCCATTGCTGCAGGAATGCCGCTCCGCGAAGTTCGGCTACATACAATGCAAGGCGTGCTTGACAACCGATTCGCTATATGGCGAGGATAAACCTGGCTCATCCCCGGAACAGAGCTGAGAGCAACGGGATGCCTGGACGCAGGCTTGCTGTACACCACTCCAGCCAAGATGCACCTGCCAGGTAGACCATGTATTGCTCGATCTCGCTTGTCATGACGGGGTCGGACCACGAAAGAGTGCCTGCCGCAGTATATTTGACACGGCAAAGTGAAGAGGCTCTGCACCCACCTCCAAGTTCATCATAGTCCAGGTCCAGGTCAGGGAAGCTGAGATCTGCAGCTGTGGAATTCCTTGAGGCCCGATGCTTCTATGACACTCTGGCAGGAAGACTTTGCAAAATGCATTCGACCGACGGCTGGATGATGCTGGATGCATTGGCGACATCTTCTGTTGGCGATTCGTAGATTGCTCTTGTCGTGATTGCGGCATCCAGTCTCTTCTGCGTGCTGCTCCGTTTCTGGTCCGTGACCTGGAAAGCTGCAGGTGTCGTCTGCTCCACGAAAGAAGATTCTGTGTAGGCCAAGAGGGTTGAGCGGCCATGCGTCCTTAGCCGAGTATAACACCCTAAATCTCTCATTCTCCCTACTGGAAATACAGGCAGGAACATGACAGAGTTGATCCATGCTGTGTGTTACTGTTCGCAACAGGTTCTCTGGAAGGGCAAGCGTGCAATGATTAGTCGCAAACCGGGACTGCATCGGACTGATCTTGCTCTCGGGCATGCAGGGGTAAAGGGGCAGGCGCCAGTCGCCAGACAGCCCCAGAAGCTTCGGAAGTCGTCCAATCTGCTTCCGAGTTGCGCATACCTCATGTGCAGGACTTGAGTGCCAAACAACAAATTCAAAGCATCGTCTTCTTGCCGTCAACTTGCCCTATTGAGGCGGTGCTTATTGAGAACCAAATACCCGAAATCCCAATACCCGCTGCGTCTCAAGCACTCAGGTGGCAAGTCCACGGCATCCTAAGTCTGCTTAGGAACAGAATGGGGAACAAGTCAGAACAAAGTCTGCTGGACGAGTTGCGGCTGAAGTCTTCCAGTGGGGAAGAGAGCGAGAGAGAGCGAGAGAGAGACAGAGAGGGTGGATTGCAAACATGAAGAAGCAGTAGAGTCAGTAGAGCTGAAAGAAGCAGTAGAGCTGAAGGAAGCAAGCGGGACCGTCGCATCAAGGCTCCATGCCGACGTCCGGAGCATCGGACCTGATGTCCTCACAGGGGCAGAAACGATGAGGCATGGCCTTCTGATGTCTTGAAGCCTTGAACGGTGGCTCTGATCGACCTGCCTTGTTGAGACCCGAAGACGAGAGATACCACAAATCTTCACGAAGTTCTGTCGCAGCCCAGCAACTCCCCTGCAACGTCCTCGTTCCAGGAGAACCAGTCGCTCGAGACCTCTCGGCCCTCCGGTGTGGCATGGGTCGTCTGCTGGCTGTGGAGCTCGAACCAGTAGTTGCCTGAAGGACCAGGACCCCGAAACCACGGGAACGGCTGTTGCCGGCTATGGTTGCGGAAGAGGACCAGGAGCACAAGGATGAGATGCCGCAAGAGGGGCAGGAGGATTGGGAGTGATGCGGAGTAGGATTGCGACGACAGCGATGAATATGGCGACGAGGAGGTGAAAGAAACGATGAAGGGTGCCAAGAAGCTCAGGAAAAGAAGGCATCATCATCAACAGCATCGTCCTATCATCACTGTCATCACTTCCATCAACAACTTCGCAATCTTCTTCGTCACGTTCATCATCATCATCATCATCATCGTCACCATCGGCATGCACTGATGATGATGCCGGCGATGGTGGCGGAGCGGGAGCGGTTGTGGTTGGTCGTGTGGCGGTGGTGGCGGTGGAGGTGGTGGCGGTGGCGGTGGCGATGG